ATATTAAAAAAAAATAAAATGTTTAAAAGAATGTATATTGCTGGGACTGGAGAGATGGCTCAGCGGTTAAGAGCACTGACTGCTCTTCCAGAGGACCTGGGTTCAGTTCCCAGCACCCACATGGCAGCTCACAACTGTCTGAAGATCCAGTTCCAGGGGATCTGACACCTTCACACCAGTGCACATAAAATAAACAATAAGAAATATTTTTTAAAAATGTATATTGCTGTTTCTAGAGGTCCGGAGTTCAGTTCTTAGCATCCATGTAGGTGACTCATTTCCACTCCTACACCATTCATTGCCAAGGGCCCTGATGCCCTTCTCTTCTGGCATCCATAGGTGTTGAATTTATATCAGTCTCTCTCTCTTCCCCAAGCTCATGGCTTCTTGGGACTCTGCAAGACCCTCTCCTCACCCTGTCCTGTTGGTTATTGCCTAGGTGGGCAGGGCCCCCAACGTAGTCATGGTGTTTGACTGCTCCATGGAGACCATGGTGCGCAGAGTGTTGCAACGTGGACAGGTGGAGCACCGGGCAGACGATTCAGAATCGACCATCCACAAGCGTCTAGAAACATACTATACCCTTTGTGAGCCCGTCCTGGCCTTCTACCAGCAAAAGAACCTTCTGCGAAATGTGGGTACCTGGAAGAAGGCCGCACTTAGCCAGTTTGAAATGAGGGGATTCTATTTCATGTAGCCCAGGCTGGCCCAGAACTCATGTCTCCCCAGCACTGGACAGATGTGAGCCACTGGATGTGCTTAGCTCCTGAAAGCTACAGTGTGGTCCCAATGCTGCACCTGTGTAGCTATGAAGCCCTGATGCTGCCCATACGTCTGGCTCAGCACAGGGGTGTTAGGTAAGGGACATTGGTGGTGTTCTCATCTCTGTGGGAACAAGCATTAGAAACTCTGCCTTCTGCTCCCTGTACCCATGGGGTCTCAACTCCCCCCACACCCATTGCTGTTACTCAGGCTGCAAACCTGCTCACATCAGGGCTTGCCTTGAAGCAATTATGGGAGCATAGATCTTGCCATGAGCTGTACCCTTGACCCCATGGCTTCCTTCCCTTAGATCTTAGCTGAAGAAGCCCCCGAGAGCATTTTTGCCAAGTGCTGCTTGGTCATTGAGAGTCTGCAGTGAGGCAGGGAGGGGCCAACGTCCATCCCCCACAGTACACAGGACCCAGGCCCTGAGGTGAGACCTTGGTGATAACAGGGCCCCTTGTGGGCAAAGTGCACTTAACACAGCCAGAGGGGAACTACCTTCACCTAGAGGTGGCAGCTGTCCCTGCATCATGTGGACACTGGTCATTTTATAGTGTGCCATGGTCTGCAAGGGGTCTGAAGGCAGCTTTGGAGAGTGGGTTCCTTTGGGCCTTGATGCTGTGGCCCATAAGCCCCTCCCCCATCTGGCTGGGTTCCAGGGGAGTCAATGCACCTGACTTTGGGACCAGCACTTTCACCTGCTATGCTATCTCCCTGTCCCTGACTGATTTTCATCACAAAAGGTAACTTCACAGGCTGACACACTGCCTCAGAGCCCTTGGCACTACCCACTTTGTCCATGCATCCCAAGTGCCTTTCACTCATGCAGGCCTGACCTCTACCTCCCACTCAGTATTAGCCACACAAAAGCAAGTCAGGCCTGTGCCCCAATGGGATGTTTCCACAAGGCAGCCTTAGTGACAAGTGTGGCCACATCCATGGGAACATGCGCCCCGGGGACCATCCTCAGTGCCTGGTTCCCCAGGTCCCAGAGGGAAAGAGTACAGACAGCTGGGCAGGCTCCCCAAAAGGAAGGGGACCACACTCACTCATCACCTCTACCCCACTCACCCTGTGTGTAATGAAAAGGGACGTCAGGAAAAGGCAAACTGTCTCCTAAAAAACAAGACAAAATCCCCACAGGAAGCTGCTCACCTCCACCGTCACCAGGGTTAAATTCACACCTACAAAGGTCATCTGCTGCAGAGGTCTACTTGAAGGGTGGAAGACAGACGGCAGCCAGTAAGACACGGGGAGGTTTTGTTACCATTTATTTGTGAAGTTAAAAACGAGCGGTAAAAAGTAAAAACTGCCATACAATTTTTTTGTTTTGTTCTCATTTTCTCAGTTTATCTCATCCTCAACAGATGACAACGTACCAGGCCAGTCCTGGGGTTGGGGTGGAGCCAGGGAAGAGCAGAGGGGGGAGAGAAAGGGAGAGGGGAGATACAGATGGGCAGGGCAGGAGGGGCCTGCGACACCCACACCTGGTCCAAGGAATGTTCCAACTCTAACTAAAAAAAAAACAAAAAACAGATAGCAAGAGTGACTTGTTTCTTTCCTTTAAAAAGTTTATTTAAAAACAAGAATAGGCCCGGGGCAGTAGGGAGGAAGTGAGCCGCTTCCCTCAGAGGGTGGGCTCAGAGGCTGGGGGATAGAGATTTATATATTTCTATATATATATCATTTTATAGGTTTTGTTCTGCTCTTTGTGATTTAATTTTTAAACTTTTTTTTTTTTTTGGCAGAGGTTAAATTCTCGCTATTTTCTAAGGCTGGCTCAACATGAAGGATCCCGGTTTTGGAAGGAAAAAGATGTGAGACACACAGAATGAGAGAGGGAACGCCTCAGCATGAGGGGGACCCCCCTGCACCCCGGGCAGCCATTGCTCTCTCACCAAACCAATCAAATTATAGAAACCAATAAAAGCCCCCAAATGGAACAAAAATGGAGGGAAAAAAATATTTTCACAGATGAAGTTCATATCCATTTGCTTCAATTGCCTGCGGAGAGGGAGAGACAGGAATGGTCATGGCAGGAGGGCGGCCGGGCTGCAAGAGGCTGCGACTCCAGGCAGCCGGCCAGGAGGCCGGACCCAAGCCCGCACATGCCAGGCAGGGGGCTGTGGCTGTCTGTCTTGGGGACTCTGCTGAAGTCAGACTGCTCCTTGGTGGAAGAGAAGCAGAGGAAGAGGAGGAGGAGGGGTCTGCAGCAGAAGCCAGAGGCATGGAAGGGGCGCACAAGGGAGAAGTGCCAGGGTGGGGAGGAGGGGGCAGAGGAGGGAGGCGGCGGCTCGGCGTAACAACATTCAGATCATGGTGTCCCCACAACACCCCTGTGAGGTAGGTTGGAAGGTGGCAACGATCGTCATGCCCACTTCACAGACAAGACTGGGACACAGAGGCAAGTGCACTAGAGGTGGCCTTGCCAGGCAGGGAGGGCCCAGTCTCCTCAGTGGGTTCCTCTCCATCCCAGCAGAGCCAAGGCCGCCTGCAACACGCAGTTACTTGGACATGGGGGATAAGGATGGTGTCTTTAAAAAAATAAAAGAATAAAAAAGAACAAAACCCAAAATAGTGATGCTGAGAAGGGGAAAAAAATAGACATTTTCTTCCCAAGTGGCCAGATTTTGAGCGAGTGGGTTCGGCAACCAGCATGGCGCCCAGTACAGTCCCCACTTCCTGCCCCCACCCGGGACACCCCAGCAGTTCAGAGTTCCACCTTTTCGGTCGGTGCCCCCAGCACCCGACAACGTTGCACCAACAGCGGCTGCGGCTGCTGGAGGAGCCTCTTCCGTGAGCCTCTGCACCCAGCAGGCGGGCGCTTCCCAGCGGTGGGGCTGCGGGGCTCCGGGAGACTCTGGCCAGGCGCCCGAGGCTGGCATCAAGGGCACACCCCGCAGGGGAAAGGGTTTCCGGCGCTACCCACTAAGGCAGGATGGACGGTGGCCGGGGGTTGGAAGGAGAAAGGAGGAGGAGGAGGGTGGCAGTTCCCACTTGCCTGCTGCTGTCCCTGCTGGGTGGGAGGTGGCTGTGGGCCACCAGGGCCTGGGGTCTGTCCGTAGTAAGCGGCCTGCTGTCTGTAATACTCAGCCCAGGCGGCGCTGTAGTCGGGCTGGGAACCAGGGGGTGCTCCAGGTCCCCCACCAGTGGCCACTTGCGCTATAGGCAGAGAGGACAATGAGCGGCTGGCGGAAGAACCCACACTCACGTGCAGTCCCATCCCCGGTCCCACCCAGCAGCTCACCTTGCTTCTTGTAGTATTCTTCCCAGGCCTTGGTGTAGTCCTGCTGTGGGGGCGCACCAGGTTGCTGGGGCTGCTGGCCTGAAGAACAGGGTGTCAGGGCAGCTGGATCCTGTGTGCAATACCCCACTGCTCCCTGGCACTGAACTTACCAATTTTCTTGTAATACTCTTCCCAGGCCTTGGTATAATCCGACTGGCCAGTGGGCGGAGGCTGGGGGGGCTCCCCCTGCGCAGGTGGGGCTGCAGGGGCTGGGGCAGGGCCTGGCACAGGGCCCGGGGGTTGCTGGTAGTAGTGGGAGTAGTAGGCGGCCCAGGCAGCATTGGGGTCTGCAGCTGCTGCTGCAGCTTTGTCTACAGGAAGAGATGTCGGTTGAGGGAGGGCACAGCAGTTGGTCCGATGTCACCCCCAAATCTCCTACACGGTACTGACACTTACTTGGGTCATGGGGAGCAGGTGGTTGCCACTGGGGGTAGGTATTGCCCCAGCCCTGAGGCGGGTACTGATGAGGAGGGGGACCACCGGCACTGCAGGGGAGGAGAGAGGTAGTCGTGAGAGCTGGCTCAAGAGTGTGATATGGAAGTCTCTACCACACTTAAAGCTGGGGCTGACCAAGGTCAAATGCAGAGCAGTCTCTCAGGGCACCTATCAAACAAGCTGAATACAGCTCCTCCTGTGCTTGAGGGGCAGGGCTGAGACAGGGCCTGTCCCTCCTGTGCCAGGGGCTCCACAAGCCCATACACAACCCAGAAAGCCAATGAATACTCACTGTGGGGGTGCTCCTGGAGGCCCCTGATTGAAGGGTCCAGGGTTGAAAGGCCCCATAGGTCCAGCAGGGCCTGGTCCTCCAGGGCCTGGTCCAACTGGGCAGAGGGGACCCTGAAGGAAAAAGTGGCAGCTGTGGTGAGCGGACCAAGGGGGGGGGGGGGGCACCTTTAACAGCACCCCATGGCACTCACCTCTATCTTCTCCTCAATGAGCTGCTTTGCATGGTCAATCTGCTGGGGTGAACCCCGGATGACGAACAACTTGAAGTTGGGGTCCCCATTGGGTGGCAGCTGCCGAGATATCTCTACAAAGGCGCCCGTCTGCTGGTTAATGGCCTTCACATTCTCACCACCTGGGATGTGGGATGACAGCTAGTGAAGGACTGACAAGTGCAGAACCAAGCAGGAAAGGGCAGAGAGCCTCAGGGACTCACCTCGGCCAATGACCAAGCCACACTTGTGGGTAGGAATGGAGAAGGTCATCTCTCCTCCAGGAGGGCCCCAGTTGCCTTGGCCCCGGCCCCGACCCCGGCCCCCAGGGGGCATGCCAGGGGCCCCTGGAGGACCTGGGGGCCCACTCCGAAGGCTCTGAAGGAGGTCATTGATGATCCGGGCTGCATGCTCACACCGATCTGGAGGCCCCATGATGTGAGCAATCTTCTCAGGGCCTGTCCCATCATCTGACAGTCACATCAAGAAACAGTTACTTAAAGCAAAGTCAAGCTTCCTGACTCTGCCTTAGTTCGAGACCAGCTCCCCTGACTTGCTGCCAACATGCAGGTGGACTTTTGCCCAGAACATGCCCCCATCCTTTCAGCGTGGCATGAGTGTCTTCCCATCTTTAGGGTCCACAGAACTAGCTAAACTTGGGGAGACAATGGTTTCCGAAAAGCAACCAACAGGAACTGGGCATCAACTATCCATAAGCACTGAGGGCTTGCGAGAGGCAGGGGCAACACTAGTGCCTGGGCCAAGATGGTGCCCACTGACCTTGCTTGAACTGGATGCGCACACCAGCGTCATTCTGGATCTTCTTGATCATCTCTCCACTCCGGCCAATGACCACACCAACTGAATGCCGGGGTACAGGTACCTGGGAGGCCAGGAGGCATAGGGTCAGCCGGCGAGGCCCTAGCTCTGCCCTGCTCCTGCTGCCCACCTCTCTGGAGTGCTTACATCGATGCCTCCACCAACTCGAGATCCGTACTCATTGCGGTCCCCAAAGCCACCCTGGTCACGTTCTCGCAGGATGTCCATCACCATCTCACAGGCTTGCTGTGGACACACAACATTGCACAATGGGTACAGGCAAGTGTACTGCCCCAGCACCGCCCCCCACACCTGTAAGGGTCCTCCACATCCCTTAGAGAGGTGTTCACCCCAAGGAAGAAGCCAAAGGGTTAAGGAAAGAATGCTGCTGCCAGCAGCAAGGTAAGACCCCAGAGCAGGCCTGACAGTAGAGCCTTCCAGAGACCATGCTGTCTGGGCACTCACCTGCACTTTGTATGGGTCCCCGATGATCCGCAGTGGCTTGTCCACATTTGTATTCTGGGAGCCATCTTGAATTAAAATCATCTTTACCCCAGCACGCTCCTACAATGGTAAGTGCCTGTCAGAAGTGGGCTCTGACAGGGGCCCACTGGGGACTGTGGGGACAAGTGTTCTGCCCTGCACCGCTCCGCACCTGCAGCTGCTTGATGGTCTCCCCGCCCTTGCCAATGACCAGGCCAGCCTTGCCAGCAGGGATCATGATTTCCTGCACCGTGCCATTCTGACCCCCATTAGCGTTATCATGGAACTGTCCTGGGGGTCCCCCACGGCCCCGTGACACGATGTCATCCAGCATCATCTTCGCTTTTCTGGAGAGAACAAGGTGAGCACTCAAGGGTGTGTTTCCGCTGCACACCCCGCTCAGGTGAGCTATCTGGACCTGGGGCTGTTCAGGATTGAGAGGGGTGTGAACTCATCTACACAGTTCTAAGAGCAGGTCAGGTGGGAGGGACACACATGGGTGTCACTAACACCCAAAGGAGACCCAGCTGGGAACTTACTGGACAGACTCAGGGGCTCCAGTCAGGGACACGCTGCGCTCAGGGAGGCCACCACTATCTGCAGAGAAGAGGAGAGGCTCAGTGCCCAGAGGGCTGCTGTGCGGACAGAAACTTTCAGAACAGTCTGCAACCCTCTCTGACAAATCATTTCACTCCCCTGCCAGAAGACACCCGGAAGGCTGCTTTTTTCACTGGGGAAGAGGAAACTTGGGAGATAAACACGCAGAGCACCATGAGACCAAGGCAGGAGGATGGTGAGAGGAAGAAGGAGTCCAGAAATCAGTTCTGGGGCTCCCTAGCAGCATCCAGGGTCCTGGCTCAAGTCTGAAGGGAAAATCCTGAGCAAGGCCTTAGAGGAGTGCTCCACAGCAGATCCAAGCAGCCTCAGAGCCAGGCTGACCCTGCCACTCTGCCTTCTACGGCACTAATCCGTATCCCATGGCACGTTAGGTGACAGCACAGAGCCTGCCACCTCGAGAGGTGCCCCATGCCTAAGTCTATATTCGCCTACGCTACCCCACATATAAACAGTAAAAACATCAGGTAGGGATATGTCTCAGGAAGCAAAGATACTCATCACCAACCCCGATGACCCGAGTTCAATATCTGGACCCCATATGATAAAAAGAGCCAGGAAGCAGTACAGGCTCTGATCACCCTGACCAGAGCTGACCTCTGACCTCCACATGTGTACTGTGGCAGGTGTACCCCCACAAACACAAAAGAAATAAATACAATAAAAATATAAAGTATAGGAGGGTTCCAGCCACTGTGGCGCCTGTCACTCTTAGTGGCAGTGCATCCACCCAGCAGAGCCAGCTCTGCACCAGGGTCCAGGCAACTTTAGATGACAGCCATACCTGGTGAGATCTGAACTTTGCAGCCCGAGTCCTGCTGGATTTTGTTAATCTGCTCACCACCTCTGCCAATGACTGGGTGGAAGGAAAAGAAGAAAGGTAAAGGCCAGGAAAGGGCACCCAGACCAAAGATGCCCACCAGTGGCCCCTTGGACTCCACCCTCATAATGGGGCCCCACACTCACTCAAGCCCACCATGCCGTCCGGGACCCTATACTCTTCTGTCATAGAGGTCCTGTGGGAAAAGACACTGAGCATCAGCCTCCAGTTCTCCTGGAGATGAAGGTCTGGACCCCTGAAGCCCCAGGACTTCTGCTGTACTCTTGTTACTAACAACCCAAGGGCAAAGCTTCAGGGCCGGAGCGAAGAATGAAGATACCAGTTTACAAATGGCATGGGTCGTCCCATTTCCTCAGGTAGGAATAAGCAATTGAATTTTTTTTTCTTTCTTTGCTTTTTTTCCTGAGACAGGGTTTCTCTGGCTGTCCTGGAACTAGCTCTTGTAGACCAGGCTGGCCTCGAACTAACAGAGATCTGCCTGCCTCTCCCTTCCCAGTGCTAGGATTAAAGGTGTGTACCACCGCCCAGCAGCATTTGAATGTGTTTCTGGAGACAAGTGTTCCATGTAGCTTTGAACAGATTCCCTGCCTCCACCTCCCATGTGCCAGGATAAGACATGTGTCACCTTGCCTGTGGTCCTTGTTTGTTTTTCTGAGACAGGGTTTTTGTGTAGCCTTGGCTGTCCTAGAACTAACTCTGTAGATCAGCTGGCCTTGAACTCAGAGATCTGCCTGCTTCTGCCACCCAGATGCTGGGATTAAAGGTGTGTATCCCTACTATTCAGACTTAACAATTTCCTTTCTTCTTCTTTTTTAAATATTTTATGTGTATTGGTGTTTTGCCATGGGTGTTGGGTGCCCTGGAACGGAACTACAGTTGTGAGCTGTCAAGTAGGTGCTGGGAATTGAACCCAGGTCCTCTGAAAGAGCAGTCAATGCTCTTTACCGCTGAGCCACCTCTCCAGCCCTGCCTGTGTTTTCTTGGAACACGGTGCTGGGGAGGGAATCCAGGGTGGGTGTTTTATTGGCTGAGTTACAGCTTCCCCACCTTGGACATTTTCATACCACATTGACAGTCCAGACATCAGTAAAAAAAAAAAAAAAAAAAAAAAAAAAAAAAGAGGCTCACCACACAGTTCATCTCATTATCCAGCCAATGTCTATTGTCAAGAAATTACAGCCTCATTCAAAGACAATTAGTGGCCTGTCCCAACAACCTGGTCAGATTCACCCTAGGCAATCTGAGGCAGCCGGGCAGCAGCAGAGACCCACAGGCTCTGACTATCCTGGAGCATCTGCCCAATCCCAGCCAGTGCTTCTGAGTGCCCAGCGTGGGAAAGGGAGGGACAGGCAGAGCAGTGAGGAGCAATTTTGCTCCCATGGTCACACACCTTGCCCCCACTGCCAGCACCCAAACCAAAGACACCAGGAGGCCAGGGAACAGCTTACCTGGGGGGAGGATGGATGGGTCCCAGTTGAGAACCAATAGCTGAGGAAAGAAATTCAAAGCAGAGCCTAGTTTAGAGCCTATTTAGGCTCCACAACCCCAGCCCATGATGTCCCTGCTTATACCAGGAGCAAATAGTACCCAAAACATAGCCCTGTGCCTGAACCTCATCCTGAGGGCACTGTGGCCTCTTCCCATGAAAGCCCCTGTGTAAGCTTTCCAATGTTTCAAATTCCATAGGCTCGAGGACCCTTAAGCCTTCTGAGCCACTACACAGGTCTCCCAGACACCCAATGCCCCCATGCCCACACACCAGCGGACTTACAGTCTCCCTGGGAAGCCAGTTTCTTGCTGTCTGGCTGGTCTGTGGATGAGAGAGACTGTCAGATGCAACACCACCCACCTGCACCGCCTCAACCCCAAAGCTGGTGCGTTATGTTCCAGGCATAGTCACCACCATCCCGTATGACAGCAGAGATGAAGGGTTAGAAGGTGCTGGCCCAGAGTGACAAAGTTCACTTTTAACATTAGTAGTATCACGGGGTCCTTCCAGATTAGAGCTGGACATACCCAGGGAACAAGTGCCCTGCTTAGGAGCAACCTTGGCGATGCTGTGCCCTGTGTCGTCTCCCACAAGGAAGGGACAATTTTGAGAACCTACAGTTTTCCTTGGTCACAACTGACCTGCCCTTCTCTCAGCTACCTGATACCTCAGGGTGGCAGAGGGAACAAAAAACTGGACAACTCCCCTGTCTTAGAGCCCCACTGGGACAAAGTACTCCTCTCAGTCCCAGGCTTCCCTCCAGGGTGAAAGCCAGTCATTGCCGCCACCACCAGGAGTTACCTCCATCTTCCAGCTGTCTCTTTTGGCCCCCAAAACCGAAATCGGGAGTGTTGTTATTCACGGTGGTAGCAGCATCACCTCCAATTTTGGCTGCAATCTAGGGTGAGGTAGGAAGTACAGACAAGTTACCTTCTCAAACAACCCTCGAGTTCGCCCCAGCCTTGGCCTGGAGTGGCAGCTCCGGATTTTGGGTAAACACACTCTGGAAACTTTTAGGAAAGTCTCCCCGCAGACTCCCTGTTCTCCCCTAATGGCAGAACCTGTGTTCACAGGCTATTCTAAGTGCAAAGGAAACAGCAGCTTAGGAGGACAGGAACCCTGGGTCACCTCACACAAGTGGCCTGGGCAGCAAACAGGACTTCAGCGTGGTCCTTCCAACTTTCCTGTCTCTCACCTCTGATATCTTTACAAAAAATCCGAAGACATCTCAGCCAAACTTTTGTCTTCAAAGCACCTGACATCCCCATATAACCAAAACAAAAGCCCCTCTGGGATACAGCAGAGTTGAGTGCACAAAGCACCTTTACATTATCCCCAAACGAGCAAACACACACACCCCAAATCCTGAACGCAGGAACCAGATGAGTCTATAATGTAAAAATCAGGTGTGCTTATCCTTGACAGCAATGACAGCACCACCACAGGGTAGGCTGCATCTTAATCAACACTGTGGGGAATGACCAGAAGAAAGGCATGCTAGAACCCACCCCACCTGCAGCGAGGAAGGCAAAGACGACAGAGGAGCCAGTCCTTAGCCCAGAGACCCCCCGGGCAACACCATCCATTGTGAGCCTGGGCCATTTAACTTTTAGATGAAGAGAGTGGGGTTGTGAGCAAAGTTGAGCTGGGTCACACCAGCACATGCCACTTCTATAAGCTGTCACCAAACAAGTCACATTCCCAAAGGGAGACAGACAACTCTTTTGAACTAACTCAAACAGTAAAGAGCAGGTGCCTAGTGTCCGCCTTCCCAACTCACCCCAAGGCCCAGGCTCACCAACAAAGGGTCCTCTCTTTACCAACCAATTCCAAGAGGAAGGACTTCTCCCCACGCATCACCAAATCCCTTCCCAGGGAAGAGACAGAAATGTTTGGTTTGGGGACCTGTCTTGATTGGAAATGGGAGTAGGGGTGTGTAAAGCAAGATCCTCTACCACCCTCAAAGCATGCGCTGCCTCTTCGAACCCCCTCTGATAGTGGTCCCCCTAGCATCCTTGAACGCAACTTTTGCAAACCCTGACGTGGCTCTTGGGGACCCTAATATAACAAGCTCTCATGGGTTCCAAGAAGGGTCTCCCAGTACCCCTGACCTCATCCTTTTTGAAGTCTTGCTGGCTGGGAGTCCTCATTAGCCTTAAGAGCAGTTCCCTAACAGACTGCAAGCCTTCATGGCTCCTAAGAGGAATCCACGACTGCATACCCAGGAGTGGATCTTGGGGACATCCTCATAATGCCCAAGCTCAGGCCTCTGCAAAACCAGAGGACCTCTTCAAATCACAACCCCTCCGGGATTCTGGGGTGGTCCATCAGAATACAAGGCCGCGTTTCCTGAATGGAAATGCAGAGTGCAAGCTTGGGGGTGGCTCTTGGGGACACTGTCCCAGACCGCGAGCTTTGTGGGTCGTAGAGGAATCCTCCAGTGCACTCAGGAATGGTTCTGGGGAACTCCGAGCCTGCAACCCTCCTATTCTAAGAGACCCGATGCAAGTTCAGGGCTGGGACTCGGCGACCCCCCAAAGCTGCCAACCCTCGTCCAGTGCAAAGTCTGGCTTTCGAGGACCCCCTCTGAGTGAACCCCTAACCCGAAGCACGCAGAGGGTCACCCTCATACCGAGGTGGCCCCAGACTCCCCGCCCCGAGCCCGCCGCCCACGTGACCCTCCCGCGACCCCGCGCGCGCCGCCGCCCCCTCCCCCGCGCGCGCACGCGCCTTCGCGGCCTCCTCACCTGGCGGGCCCGCTGCACGGCGTCGGCGAAGGCGTCCTTGCGGATCCCCGGGCCGCCACCACCGGGAGGCTGCGAAGGGCCCCCGGACGCGCCTCCTCCACCCGGGCCTCCGCCGCCGGGGCCTCCGCCGCCCCGGTCTCCCGCGCCCGGCGGGCCAGGCGGAGGGCCTCCTCCCGCACCCGCGGCTCCTCCTCCTCCGCCGGCAGGAGGCGGCGGGCCGGGCGGGGGGCCCCCGGTGCTGTAGTCCGACATGGAGCGGCGCGGACGGGCCTGGCGTGGAGGCTTCAAGCTGAGGAGGAGGCGGCGGCGGCGGCGGCTCAACGCGGGAACAAGGCCTCGCTCCACACGGCCGCGGAGCACGATGGGAAGCCAGCGGCTGGGAAGACGACGAGGGGGGGGGGGCGGAGAGGGGCACCTCCTCCCGCCGCCGGCGTGACGGACGGCGCGGAGCAGCCAGTAGAATGCGGCTGTGGCTCTGCGCCGACCAATCGTGGGCCGTGAATCCGGGCGACCAGTCAGACTCCCGCAAGGCTCAGGGGGCGGGAGGTACGGAGTGACTGACGTCTATAGGAGTCAATAAACCGTGGGCTGCCGGAGCAGGGCGGGCAGTTCGAAGTCACGCGAGAAGACAGGAGGCCAATGAAGCGTGAGCTCCAGATTCGCTGGGCGGCTCCAGAATGAGAGCGATGGCGCTGTCCAGTCACGTGGGCCTGACGGCGGGGCTTAGCGAAAGCGCTCCTGGCAGAGCGGGCGGGCCCGCGGGGAGATAGTTGTGAATGCCAGCCAGTGAGTGCACGCGGGAGGCGGTGCTTGTCGAGACCGGCAGTCCCTTAACCCAGTCTCTGAAGCGCTTTGGGGTGATGTGCTTGGATTTGGACTTGACGGCTTTGCTTAGACTCCATGTCCCTCGACTTCGGAGCCAATGGCTGAGCGACAGGAGCAAGCGTTCGATGACTGACATCTCCCTGAACGAGTAGCAGCGACGGAAGTAAAAGCGCCCTGTTTTGATGGGCGCGCACCTGCATTGGGTGGAACCCGTTACCAGACGGCGAGAGCGGATTAGCGGGAGCCCGAGTGAATGGCAGCGGACGTGGGCGGTGGTGCCCTGCCGCCGGAACTACGGCCTGACCTCTAGATCAGCGCGCCAGCAGCCTGTCTCTGGGAGCACTTGCACGTGGCCTGCTCGAAGCCTGGGGGATCTGTTTATGGGGATGTGGGCGGCCCGAGGTTTGGTGAAGAACCCAGGGGTGTCCCCGGTCTTCCCTCTCATTCCGAGACCCAGAACCTTTATTTCTTCCAGTACTCAAGGCCACCAACTCCTCAAACTTATTGCAAACCTGTTTCTAAACTGGACCCAGGTCCCAACCCAGGACCCACCCTGGACAGGATCTCTCTTACAGGGGGTCTAAAAACCCCAGCTAACACCCTGGATCCAAAAATCTCAGGTCCCTACCGGGACTTTTAAGTCCCTTGTTTCCCAGGCCCTCAGGGTGGGGGTTGAATCCAGGACTTTTTTGGACAAGCTCTCTACACTGGCATACGCCCCCATACTCAGATTCCCCACCCTGAACCAGCTAATCCCAGACAGAGACAGCCAAAACTATCTTTATTCTTTGTCCACACCTTCTGTTGGACGAGCCTGCAACAAAGCAGGCTGGAATGTCAAATCAACTCAGACTGTATCCTGCAGGAGGGAATCCCAGCACTTCTAACCCTAGTCCTGGATGGTTTTTGCAAACCAAAATGGCCCTAAAGCCTGAGCCTTAGTGGGCTTTCTGAGACCCAGAAACACTGGGAATTCCATTCTCTTTCTGTTCGGGGCATGTCATCTGCTCAGGACTTGTACACCCAGGGTTTTCTTCATGGCTTCGTACACCACGTAGCTGATACCGCCTGCTGGTAACACCTTCAGTAATGTGGGTGTCATGCCCCTGTACAGCCCAGGCCAGCCCTGTTGACTCAGTATTCGCCGGAAGACTCCCAGCATGGTGGGGTTGGAGCCCTCCACAGTGTCTGGGGATAGACAAAGACAAGTTCAGCACTAGGTGTGGTGTGAGATGTCACTGTCAGTATGAGAGGATCTGGGTCACATTTTGGGCAGTCTTGTCGAGATCATTTGGTTATTGCCATGTATGTATTTTGAGACGGTTTTAGGTAGTGCAGCTTTGGACTCCTGATCCTCTTGATTCTGCCTCTTGCTGGGATTACAGCACTGCCACACCCGTTGACCCCTGGCTTTATGGCATAGGCACACACTCCATACTGTGCCAGGCTGAGCTCCAGCTCCAGCCTCAAGGTATGTCACCAAAGATGATCTGGAATTCCAGATCTTCTTGCCTCCACTTCCCAAGTGATGGGGTGACTTCTAATTTGAGAGCCGGGTTTAGATTGGTGAGTGAGCATGTGCTTTGGTGGGTTCAGTACTCAGCATAGGCATTACCGATGGGTTTATGGAGAGGCTGGAAGTTTGTGGGGAAGGATGAGAAAATTCAGAAAGCCAGGGTGAGGTAGGGACGGGGCCAGGCTGACCTTGTGCCTGCATCCGTGTGCGCACCAAAGTCAGCGGGTAACTGGCCATCTGGCCACAGGTCGAGGACAGTGTTACAGATGACAGACTGACCAGGCCACTGGGGTCTGTCATGTCCCTGCCCGACTTCTGCCACAAACACCGGAGTAGCTGCAAAAGAAGACAAGAATGCTATTTTTTTTTCTGAGACAGGGTTTCTCTGTAGCTTTGGACCCTGTTCTGGAACTTGCTCTGTAGACCAGGCTGGCCTTGAACTCACAGAGATCCACTTGTTTACTTCCTGAGTACCTTGATTAAAGGTGTGCACCAACACCACCTGGCAAGAGTGCTATTTGATAATGACTCAGAGTCAAAATGGGCATGATGATGCATGCCTTTAACCACAGCACTGGGGGCGGGGGAAGGCAAGGGCTGGAGGACCTCTTTAAGTTTGAGGCTAGTCTCATCTACATATTGAGTTCTAGGTTTGCTGAGGCTACATACTGAGACTCTGTTTTAAAAAACAACAGTCTGCCGGGCGATGGTGGCGCATGCCTTTAATCCCAGCACTTGGGAGGCAGAGGCGCGGATCTCTGTGAGTTCGAGACCAGGCTGGTCTACAAGAGCTAGTTCCAGGACGGGCTCCAAAGCTGCAGAGAACCCTTGTCTCAAAAAACCAAACAAAAATAAATAAATAAATAAATAAATAAATAAATAAATAAATACCAACAGTCTTTGGATCTCTGAGTTCGAGGCGAGACTGACCTATAGATCCAGTTCCAGGCAGCCAGGGCTACACAGAGAAACCCTGTTTCCAAAACAAAAACAAAACAATGGTCTGGACAGCTGGCTCAGCAGTAAAGAGCATTAGTTCTTCTTCAGTTCCCAGCACCCAAATGCTGGCTTAAATATATCTAGAAAAATAATTTGAGCGAAGGGGCAGGGAGAGAGCTATGGGCTGACCTGGAGTCAGTGCTCTCTTCTCTGGGGACACACACCTCATAGACAGCCAGATCAGTGCAAGCATAGGGTACGATGCCCAGCATGTTGGGCAGATAGCCTCGGTACAGTGCTTGGGTGCCATCCCGTTCTAAGATCTGCCTGGCGCAGTCCAGAAGTCCTTTATACTGGCCAGTAAGGCGAAGGGTCAGCCGAGTCTTGAGTACCTGGAGAGGAGGAGGAGGTCTGTTTGGTTAAATGCTCTCAGGCAGGCTTGTCACCCGTCCTGGTATTGGTAGGTGGAGATATTGTCAAGGGTACCAGGGTTCAGTTGTGCATTTGCAGCCCTGGGGCACCTGGAAAGAGGGGGCTGCATTGGCCTGATTGTTCTTGTTATAATACCTGAGGGGTTGAGCTTTTTCAAGAAAAGAAGTTTAAACCCAAGTCTGGTTAATACACCCATTATCCCGGCACTGGGGAGGCTGAAACAAGAGGATTGCAAACTCCAGGCTAGCCTGGCTTACATAGCAAGACTCGTTCACAAAAAAAAAAACAGGCTGATGCAGTGGCTCATTTGGCGGAGGGTGTGCCTAGTACAAAGCTGTGAGTTTCATCTCGCACCCCCATAAGCTGGGAGTGGTGGCATGCACCTGTGATCTCAGCGCTCAAAAGTAGAGATGGGACAGGAAGTTTAAAGTCTTCCTTCTACAGGGTGAGTTCCAGTTCCGCCTGGTTACAATGAAACCCTGCCTCCCACTCCTTTTTGAGACATAACCTCACTATGTAGACCAGCCTGGCCTCAAACTCATACAGATTTTCCTGTCTCTGCCCCAGAGTGCTGGGATTAAAGGCACCACCACACCCAACCTGAAACCTTGTCTTCAAAACAAAACAAACACCCAAGCCAACGGGACCCCAAGACATCATCTAACCATAATCAATGCCCAAATTCCCACTCTGTATTTGTTTGAGACTGGGTCTCTAGTAACCCAGGCTAGCCTCTAGTTTGCTGCGTTGCTGAGGAGGATGGAGAGCGCAAGGCTAGCCTGGGTTATATGAGACTTCATTTCAAAAGCAAAAGAAGAGGCAGTGCAGTAAGGCTGCTAAGCTTGATCCTGGCCCCCATGTGGTAGTTCCAGGTCCTGGGGATCCGATGCACTCTTCTGATCTCTGCAGGCACTCAATGTACATATACAGACACACTAACAGAATTTTGAAAAAACAGATGGGGTAGTGGTTGGATGCTTGTCTACCATGTGCAAAAACCCTGGACTCAACCCTCATTGGTGCCTCTGACCCCCAAGAAAAGAGGCATCACAGTATTCCTGGCCCCCAAGAAGAGAGGCATCACATTCACACACCAACACCAACACATACATTAACATACAACCAGAAACAAAAACTTAACTTCTGAAATACAAAAATGTCTCCTTTTTTTTTTTCCCCACAGGGTCTCACTTTACAAAGTGAGGCTGGCTACAGGGCTGGCTGTCCCGGAACTCACTCTGTAGACCAAGCTGACCCTCAACTCGCAGAGATCCACTCTGCCTCTGCCTCTGCCTCTGGAGTGCTGAGCTTAAGGATGTGGTCCCATCTAACGTCTACTGGGGACTGTAGAGGTCAGTGGCTTGGGCCCTGCAGACCTGCAGAGTCAGCGGACACATATGTCCTTACATGTCTGTCACAGCTGAGGAGAAGGGCACAGAGCCACACTAAGGTATGTCCTGCTTTGGTAGGAGAGGAGCGAGCCTGTGGCCTGACGTCACACAGCAACGCAATCCTGGCAAGTTGTAGGGGAGAGCTGAGGCTGACTTGGGAAAACCTTCAGCTTCTGTAAGAAGTAGAGCTGCTGGTTCCCGTGTGCACCTGCCATCCTGGAACTCAGGAGGCAGAGTGAGGAGGGTCAGGAGATTAGCATCATTTTCGCTGCACAGCGTGACCAAGGCCATCCTGTGCTACACTTGAAAACAAACAAATCATCTCACAATCATTTCTTTCCTCACCACCCCCTAGTGTCAGAATTTGAAATCTCTGAGAAAGTTTTAAGTCTGTAGGAAAGTGCATAGCCGATCTCT